CTGCTCTCAAGACTGTGGTATTAGTCTCATTAAATAATAGGATCTGCAGCTTCCAAAATTCAACGAACTATATATATTTTAATGTAGAAGACATGTAGGGTGACACTAAAAATCAGAAGAAAGCGCAGAGATTGTTGTGCGTCCTAAAATCTGATTTTTTTTTTCCTTTCTGTATTTTGGGCGGGGTCTGCAGGGTGTTCAGGGTTTCACTACGTACATCGGACTCGTAGTGATGCCTCAGTTTTCAGCCTCCCGAGTTCTGGGATGATAAGTGTGCCCCCACACCCAGTCTTAGAATCTGATTCTTTCAAAAGAGGATTGCAGACAACGTGGTGTTTCTGAGAACTGAAATTGACCTAGATTGCAATTGACTTCTTATGCTAGAAGCCAGTATCATTGTGTAGTTGATTTTGTGGCAATAAAGAACTTCGGACTCGTGCATTAAGCCCTTTTCTCCCCCGCGCAAAGCTTTCTACTGCAGCACGCCGGACTCCCCGCCGCACGGCTACATCATCAGCCAGACCGGCGGGCAGCTCAACAGCGTGGTGCGCTGGGCCTGCGACCGCGGCTTCCGGCTGGTGGGCAAGAGCAGCGCCGTGTGCAGGAGGTCCTCCTACGGCTACCACGCGTGGGACGCGCCCGTGCCCGCCTGCCAGGGTAGGTGCATTGGCCAAGAGTCAAAAGACCGTTGATTCATCTTGTTTAACATTTCCATTAAATCTCGAAGGATTCCCAACATGTTCATATTCAGAAGCACGGGAATGCCCTCTTTTCCAGAAATGGAGGCATTGAGAACACCATTGCATTTGAGGGGAAATAAAAGTAATTATGCACTGTGGTGGGATGGACGTGCCTCTTCTCTTTCCTCTTGTGGATGTTTGTCAGGAACAGTTGCTTTGCAGAAATTTATCCAGACAGAGATGGAGACCGAGCTCTTGAGCTTTCAGGGACTGCAGGAGGGTCCCTGCGTTGCAGGCCGAGGTCACTGCGTGTGAGACATGTGCTCCTGGAGGAACAAAATTGATGGAGAAAAGTGTGATGTACTGCTTAGTCTTTTTTTCTTCTTCACTGTTGAGCCCACTCAATGGGGATGTGGCTTTCATTTTTACTTGTATTTGTTAAAAATCAAGCGCCCAGCGTTGTATCTTGCTAGAGTAGACCAAATGGCAAGCTCAGTCCCGAGCTTTAGCTTAGGACTTCCGTTTTAAAAAGATTTGACAACTCGAGGGGAAGGGGAGATAGTTCAGTGGAATAAGCTCCTACCTGGCAAGCTCAGAGTCCTGAGTTCAATCCCCAGTACTGCAAAAGAAAACTAGATAAATAAATAAATGCATACATGCATACATACATACATACATACATACATACATACATAAAAACGATTTGACAACTTGAGTCTATAGATAGTTACAGTCACAAAAAATAGTTCAACATCATTACATGTGAAAAGCTAATGTTACTGGGCTTTGCAAAATTTCAAATATTTAATTCATCAGATTATTTTGTCAACACAAAAATTAATTTAATGTTTTATTTGTTCAAATCAGTGTACAAAAGCAACAATGAATCATGATATTAAAAATACATGACACTTTTTACTAATAAACAGTGGGACTTAACTATCACCTTCTTTTAGCACAAAATTTATGTACACAAAACTTAAAACAGTTTAATTAAATTTTAAAATTAAGATATAGGGGGCCTGCCCCTTCGCTCAGTTCTTTAAGCGGCTGCTTCAACAAAGCAGTCAGGCTCAGGTGGCTGTGGTTCAGTCCCCACAACTCAAGCCAGCCACACCTGCCCTGAAGGCATTCGGAGCTAAATAAATAAACAAACAAACAAACAAATAAATAAAATTAAGAAATAGCATGTTTATCTGAGCGGAGAAATAAATATTACAAGGCAAGTAAAATAATTTCTTTCAAATGCTAGAAGGAAATTTCTGATTCATGAAATAACAGCTCTCCTTGACTTAAGCAAGTACACATGGAGTGGACAATCTATTGTTTCTTTGTTTTGTTCATTCAGAAAATGTCAATCATGTAGTAGTTTTCTGGAAATGTCACCTTAGCAGGTTACCAATACTGACTGCACTGACTTCATGTGGAATAGATATATATTAATAAACTACCCAAACATTTACAATGAGTAGGGTAAGTAATTATAATTTTTTAGTATTAAGTTTCTAGAACTATTTGGGAAGGAATCTTTGATCTCACATTTTCTTAACAATGGGAATATATATACAGAGATGCCTTGAAACAAATAGTTAAATGCTGAAATACTCCAAGCTTTTACACTGCTTTTATATAAGAATTGCTTTTGAATGTGAATACTCACACACATATAAACTTTATGAAAGATTTAGTGAAAATAGTCCATGCTGAGATGAAAATATCTCAAACTTGCTGAAATCTTGAAATTGCTTCATAAAATCACTGATAATTTCATTGAGTTTTAAGTATAACTTTACATATGGAGTCACTGTTCTTGATTTATATTTTTCTATAATTATAGTTAAGTTGTGAATGAAAATTTGAAGGATATTTAATATAATACAATATAAAATATTTAAAATCCAAGCAGTATTTACAAAAGATGATCTCTTGTGATTATTGAAACCAGTCAGAGAAGTTACTTTATTAAAAATGTTTGTGAAAATAAAATTAAAAAAATAAAATCGGAAGAGTAACAAAATGTTTGCAAGATATGTAACCTATCTCTTTGGATGTAGATAACTTATACATCATTGAGAAGAGCTAATTCACATAATTCAAAGGTTTTTAAATACAAATTTGTTTTGTGTTCCTCAGTCATTTTGCTCAGCTGGCCTCTTCAGTCTCTGCATACGGCCTTATATGTACTTCCTCAGGCTGGTAGACACAGAATGTAAGCACAGTTCAAGGCAGACACCTTGAGTTTGACTTCCCTGAGGCACTTGTGATTCTTGCTTTCCTGGGAGTTCTTCAGAGTTGTCTTTGGCAGCTGTTCATTGATGACACTTGTTCTGAGATTCCTTGCCCCTCCTTCCTTCTTTCTTTTCTTTCTCTATTGGTTTTTTTGTTTTGCTTTGCTTTTAACTAAGAAGTTAAACTGTAAGCAGTCCACAGGCGCAGCATCTGTGATATTATTTTATTGTTTCTCTTTTTTTTCAGCTCTGAAGTAGAAACAATGTACCTCAGCATATTCATGGAAGTTATGCAATAAACTATATTTCTTTTACCTGGAGCTACATTTAACTTATATTACTCAACAAGTTTTAGTGACTTTTTTTTTTTCAAGTCAGCATATCTTTCATTGTGGTGTGGTAGAGAAACGGCTTCCAACTGCTAAGGGGATAATCAAATTTTGCTTTACTAAAAGTCAGGGACCCATTTGCTTCTACAACCCTACTTTAGAGGTTTTGTAATTAGAAATAACACATTATTATTTGAGATTTCTTAATAATATATTAAAGTCAGGTTTGCTGTTTTGCTGTTCATATTTGCAGGTTTCCAAATTACAACTATCAAACTATTCAGTAGTAAGGATTTTGCTTTCCAATTTTGAAAATTTCATTACCTATTTCATTAAGGTTTTTTGCTTTGCATTCAGTTCATATTGATTAGTGAAAATTAAACACATAAATAATATATTGTGTAAGGTAAGTGGGAAAAATTTTAGGTTAAAATGCGTGAACAAGGCTGGAGAGATAGCTCAGTAGAATAAGCTCTTATCTGGCAAATGCAGGGTCCTGAGTTCAATACCCGGTACCGCAAAAAAAAAAAAAAAAAAAAAAAAAAAAACAGAAAAATATTTCTAAAATAATCATTCATATTTTTGTTTATCCCTTTCACTGTCAGAAAAATATGTCTAGTATCTTTCACTTGTAACTTATAAGACTATACTTGCAAATTCTGGAACTTTCTGATTTTATTAAAGTAATACAAAGCATTGCAAATATCAGATATTATATACTAGTTCTAACTTGACTTGAGGTGACATATGCAAATATATTAATTTGACTGCAAAGATATGTCTAAGTATTTTCTCTGTGAACTTTATATAGAAATACTAACTAACTCTAATTTGAGTTTGGAAGCCAAATATGTTCTTCGGAGGTTTATATCTTTTACCTTTTCTTGGAAACAAAATTGTGGCTCTGTGTGGCAAAGATGGAAAGCAAATATTTTCAGATTTTGTTTACTCTTTTGAATTTGTTTAATAAGTTTTGAAAATATAAACATCATTATGGTTATCATATCACAGTAAAATTAGGTCAAATGTATTATGGATTAAATAAAAAACATCTTAAATACATAAATGAAATTGATGATAGAAGTACTATGTAGTCTTTAAAACAATTAAGATCTAGCCATATATTTATTAAACATGTCTAATATACATGATATTCAAAACACAGTGTACTACCACATACATTTCAGTATACCTAAAATAGCTTGCAGCAAAATAAATCTGTTTATCCTTGATAGGTATTGGTTTCCAACTCTTCACAATCATTAATAATTTTAAAAATTGAATTAAGAAACCTTACAAGTGGTTCTTTAGTATTGAGTTAGAACTAGTTGTGCTGTGTATTTACCTCATTTATATTATCATATAATCACTGTGAGTGCTGATAGCCAAGCACATGATGACAAAAAGTTCAGAGATCAAAAAACAATGTATTGACACTTATAGGTTAGATGCACCAGGTTAGATGCAAAATAAAAGCTTGAAGTGATTCATTAAAAATATATGGTTTAGAAAACTTTATGTATAACGTATTCTGAAATCCTTTAAAGATATTAATAAAATCCCAAGGTCTTGCACTTGTTTTAGAATTTACAGATGTATCTGAAAAGCTAAGCATTGCTTGTTTCCATCATGGGTATGTATGTTTTATTTTAGCCATTTCCTGTGGCATTCCTAAAGCACCAACAAATGGAGGGATTCTCACAACAGACTACTTGGTGGGAACTAGAGTCACCTACTTTTGTAACGACGGATACAGATTGTCGTCCAAGGAACTCACCACGGCCGTCTGCCAATCAGACGGGACATGGAGCAGCCACAACAAGACCCCTCGCTGTGTGGGTGCGTGGGTCGCGGAGATTTAATCTCTTGCTTTTCCATTGCTTATAATGATTTGGAATTATATATGTCACTGAATTTTTAAAGCACGCCCTGAAATGAAATGTTGTTTCAAAAAGAAAACTAGTGGCAATATTTCTAGTTGAAAGTATTAGAAGACAATAAGGGGATTTTCACTCAGGAATGACACATTATTTGTGTCACAAATGCTGTGATTTTCATTTTATATAACAAATTTTTCATTTATTTTGTAGAAAGTCTCCCATCAAACAACATGTGCTTTCAATTCATAGATCTTTTGAAAACTTTTTAGTTTGTATTACTAGAATTGTATTTTAATACATTCAGCTGTGATTTATGTAATGGCAAAGGATCCTCCTGAACCTATCCAGAACATGTGGCTTTTGTTAGTAGTCTTTAGTATAGTTTGAGAAGGAAAGTTTTTTATTTTATTTTTATTATTATTATTATTATTATTATTATTATTATTATTATTTGCTACTTCATGCTGCCTTAAGGGCAAGTCTGGTGCAGACTCTGGTACTGGGAATCGAACTGCGGTCCTATGTGCCTGATGGCATTAGGCCAAGTGGCGCTTTAAACAACTGAGCTAACCAATAGTATAGTTTGAATATGTCCTATTGTGTCTTTACCACTGGCAGAAGTGAAAGAGTATTATACATATGATAATAGAAATGAATTCTGATAAATAAATTTGTAGTAAAAAGAACAGAGAGGACTAATTTAAATAATGCTTTTAATTTTCTCTATGGAATTTTTTTCTTTCCAGCTAGTGCTAATGTTTTAACACTACTATGATTTTATTAAAATGAATATTGAGTAATGCTTCCCTTATCCTGAGCAAGCTTTAGAACCAGCTAAGGTTCATATCACACCCATTCCATGAAAGGGCCATTCTTATCAAACAAATTTCCTGACAAAGTTCTTCCAAACATCTAAAGAAATAAATTAGTAGGGGTAAGATTGTAATTGGGTTTCTAGGTAGGTAAAATAATGTGCATATGGATTAAATGAGTTGCAAAGCAGCAGGTTCTGTTCAAGGAATTACCAGAAATAGCACACTGCTGGGGAAATGGAAATGATTAATGTGGAAAAAAAATAAAGAACAAATGCTAAAGTACCTCGGATGGCTTAACTGTCTAACAATTAAGGCAGTGGAGATATGAAGTTTGGATTACTGGTGAGCTATAATGAAGAGGTGGAAGGGAAATGATTGACTCCTACGATTTGTGTTTTTGGTTCTTGTATAGTTGTCACGTGCCCAGGCATCCACTCTTTTACTCTTGACCATGGAAGATGGAGAATTGTAAATGGATCGCACTATGAATACAAAACCAAGGTGGTCTTCAGCTGTGACCCTGGCTATCATGGCCTGGGTCCTGCTTCCGTCGAATGTCTTGCTAACGGTACCTGGAGCTGGAGAAATGAAAGGCCGTATTGCCAAAGTAAGTATGCAATCTGATAAACTGATTCCAGAAGCTATTTTTGGTGACTAAATGCTTAACGTTATTTTGTTTTCCAAACATACTAGAGCAATAATGAGGTATTTTTTTGTGGTGTGGAATGGGCATTGCTGTGGTGTGCAGCCCATCATGGAAATCCTGGGCTAAAGTAGTATTCCTGATTGAGCTGCCCCACTAAGTGGGGCTAAAGGCATCCTACCACCTTTCTCAATTACATAATATTATTAATATGGTTATTTAATTTTATTACATTTTAAGGTTCATGATTATATTGTTAGTGTTTATGAAAATGGGTTTGGAATTTATAAATTTTACACATGAATTCTAGCTTTATCTTTTACTATATCAACTGAATATTTTTGCATAATTACTACGTGTTGCATACTGCTTTTAGCATCTTTGTATTCTACTCATTTTGTCAAAAAGAGAACTAGATTTGATCGTCTTTCACAAATCACAGAGCCGGAACAAAGGCCAGCTGGTACTCACCCCAAGCCACCTGACACGCCCACTTGGCTTTCAGTCACACTGCTGTTGTGTTGCTTAGTGTGTCTAACCCAGATTTCTTAAATGGAAAAATTAACATTACTCTTAACTCATGAAGTTGTGATGATTTAATGCTCTCCGTTATTTGAAATGCCAGCTCCAGCCAGATTAGCAAGGAGCTCAGTAAGTATTAGTGAATCAAGCTGAACAATGAGATCAATTAAGCAATTAATTAAATAACGGAATAATTGTTACAGTTATTTAAATGGCTGCACTCCACCATTAAACAGGCTAATTCAATGTAGGATATTCAGATAACATATCTGGAAATACACTAAACTCCTTTCATCTTATTATTTTGTCTACTTTGTCCCAGGAAATATACTAGGCTAACATTTCAGCCTGTTAATTTATATACAAAATAATGCTATAGCATATACCATATATATAAAAAGCTAATAATGTAGTGAAAAATCTAAAGTTATGATGATTTGGAGTTTTAAAAGAACAGGCAAGTATGATCCCCTGCAATAAGTATCAAAGTATGTGTTGCTATTTTACTCATGAATACAATGTGTATAGGTTGTTTTGCTGTAAGATAGCCATAATGATTAATTAAAATCTTTTAAAAAATTAGGTTTCTAAATATATATTTTATACAATCTTGCTCAGTATTCCAGATTTTCTCCCCAAACTTTTTTCTACCATTGGCCTCCCATTCCAGGACAATTTTATTGAAAGGGCACACGGCTGAGAGAGAGATTAAGAAGATAAAGTTTTCTGTAAGAGACGTGCTCATTTAAGCAAACATTTACTGCATCCCTTTGCTGTTGTGTTGTTTCCATGGTGCTAGATCTTCTGTTCTCCAAAAGGATTTAAGTGATGTAGAAGTTCGGGCTGGCCCCCACAGCTTAGCACTGGGCAAAGATGGGGAATCTAAGTTTTATCATTCCCTGAAGCACTGGAAAGAATAGCAATTATTCTGATCTTCCATTTCCACATCTTTGAAACTAGAATGCAAATATGAATGCTATTAATATCAGTGCATTACTAATAGCAAGACTTACTTTAAAGGATTATTTTATCTAAGAGCTACCTAAAGCTTAAAGCCAAAGCTCAAGCTAGCAGGAAGCACTACGCCTAATAAATACTGGACTCTGCAGTTCGATTGTTAGTTTTAAATCTTGAGTTTAGTATTTATAAGCTGTGTCTCTTTATTCAAGATACTTAGCTTCTCTCTGCCTATATTCTAATAAGTGTTATCCAAATGATCGTCTATCACAAGGATTTGTATTGAAAACCACCTAGGTGAATATGCTGTTCTAGAATAAGCACTCGATAAACGCCATCTGCATTTGCTATCATTCTACTATTGTGTGTTCTTTGTTTTTATTATAGAATGACATATAATTTGTAGTCCTTCAATAGGAGGGAGTCACAAGAGATAGGTTCTCATTGACCTAGCACACCAGCTATCTATTTTTAGTTTTTTAAACCAGAATATGTGAGGTATATATAATAAATTTTGAGAAAATCAAATAACATGTAGAGTTCCTTATAAAGCCCTTGACAAGACTTATTTATACTTATTACGTTTTTATTGGTTGAAATATGAAGATGCTTTGATTAAAATATGTATTTCAAAGGGCTAACCAAGTATAACTTGACTAAAAAAAAATTTTGGACTAATGGATTATCCTCTTTTTAACCTTATGATTGTTCTTGTACTATAACAAAGTTATCTAAGCAACAATTCTAACAAATAATAACTTCAACACGGGTCGTGGTCATATAGAAGGACTTATGGCAGCTCAAAGGGGCTAAAGTTTAACTTGATTTAACCATTATACATTGTGTACATCTATTGAAATATTATCTGTCCCTCCGCCAATATGGATAATTTTTATATTTTATGTAATAGTTAAAATAGAATTAAAAACATTGTAACAGAGGAGGAATTTTGAATTCCATCATCTCTTTATTCAGTTTTATTTAAGCATGCTTTGCAAATGTTAATTTCAGCAGTTAATATGTTGTAGCATAGGAATCACGGGAAGATGAAAGCATGGGTTTCTTACAAGTGCATATTGACTATGTCTTCAAGGGTTTTCCCTTATTATTTTTAAGTTATTTCCTGTGGAGAACTGCCTACGCCCCCAAATGGAAATAAGATTGGAACTCAAACTTCATACGGCTCAACAGCTATTTTTACCTGTGATTCAGGATTCATGCTTGTTGGCTCTGCTGTACGGGAATGCCTTTCTTCAGGTCTTTGGAGTGGATCGGAAACCAGATGCTTAGGTACAGATGTTTAACTACTTTTCTTAACTCCCCCAACCAACCTCCCTCATCTGAAAGCACTGGCATGGAGGCAGACTTCCTCCTCTGGTGTAAGATGGTAACTTCTTTTCCCTTCATAGGGATCCAAAAATTCAGAAAATACTGAATTTTAACAATGGGTTACAGGAGAAAAACTACTAAATCAGTAACTCTCAGTAATCAACTTATATTTCCAATGAGAATCATGTCGTTACGAGGACGCATT